TAAAGAGGCAGGGTGGAGGCTGGGACTTCACAGTTAATACATTGTCACAGAGTGGGTTTGACTACTTTAGATTCCTCAGGCATGTGGAATTGTCCTCTGGTTTATTTCACTTAACATAATGTCCTCCAGATTCATCCACATTATTGCAAATGGCAGGATTTCCCTCTTTTTGTAAGTTAAAATACCCCATGCTATGTATAGCCACATTTTCTTTATCCATTCATCCATTAACAGACACTTAGGTTAATTCCCCATCTAGAGGATTGTGATTCATGCTGCAAAGGATGGGGGAATGCAGATCTGTCTTCAGAACCCTAATGTCATCTCCTCTGGCTTCCCTACCCAGAAGTGGGATTACCGTATCAACACTGGTTCTATTTAATAATTTTTTGAGGAACTTCCACACTGTATTCCATAGTGGCTACACCATTTTACATTCCCATGCTATGAGTGTTCTATAATTCTTTGCTATTATAATTAGACCAGGTTATCTTTTAAAAATGTTTAAAACTTCCATGTCATGGAAATGTTCACATACTCAGAACCATGGCTGGATACCTGTCCTTGTACCTGGTACTGGCATCAACAGTCTCAGCTCAGACGAGGTTGGAGTGTCAGCCAGGGTCAGGTGGGCTGGCTTAGTGAGGTGCAGTTTTAGCCTCATAGCAAACTTTTGATACATACTGTTGAGGGTTGGGGCTCCCAGTTCCCTGAACCCAGTTGGGCTGGTTTGGTTCTTCAATGTGCTAGAAAGTTCAACCAAGGCAATCAATGACCAATAGAAAAGGGAACTACTGTCTGGAGGTGCAGAGAGGCCAGTGGCAGACGTGCAGCCAATATCAGATGAAGGATTTATACCCCTGCAGGCCTTTGTCCCATCTCTCTCACCTTTTCTCCTTCATGGGAGGGACCCAATTCCAACTCTCTTGAGAAGTGCTCTAAACTTTCTTTGTTCTTCCTAAATAATATCACTCTTTGTCACCTTGAAACTTGTGTAGATGACTTTTACTTTCTATCCACACTGCCTGTACCTTTCCAGTTTTATTTTCAGTTTCCATTCACTTTTGCTTTTAGTTATCACAGTATTTTAAGACCCTGTCTCTAAAAAAAAAAAAAAAAAAATTAGCTTGGCCTTGTGGTAGGCACCTGTAGTCCCAGCTACTTAGGAGGCTGAAGCAAGAGCATCACTTGAGCCCAAGAGTTTGAGGTTTCTCTGAGCTATGAT